CACGCCCCCGCCAGCCGCCGCACGCCGCCCGGTGACTCGCGACCCCCCAATCGGCGTCCCGAGAGCTCGACGCATGCGCACCGACCTGCGAACGGAGCCCCACGCCCCACTCTCTTCCTGGTGCTCGGTACACGTCCCACGTGACTCCACGTAAGCCAATCACAGTACCCACCACCAAGACCCCGCCCCAAGGTGCGGCCGCTGGGATCCTTCTCCACCAATCAGCGCAGCCTCCGGCTCGGACCTGCCCCCTCGGCACTAGTCAGCTGACAGAGTCTCTCACGTGACAGCCCGCAGCCCACGCCCGAGTTTGACAGGTCTCCAGCGCAGAGCTGAAGTCCCGCCTCCGCGCCGGGTCGCGCGTCGCTCTTCGCTGGGTAAAGGGGAGGCCTTTTTTTTTTCTTGTGCCCTCTGCCGACCGGTGCTGGAACTGGCTTGGGGAGACCCGTGAGGTACTTGAAAGACGAAACTAATCTTAAGAGCGGAGGTTCTTTCTAACTCTGGTTTCCTACGAAATAGCTGGAGAGAGCGTGTTAAAAATTCAAAGTCGAAGCCGCTCGGGAGGCCGAGGCGGGAGGACCGCTTGAGTCCGGGAGTTCGGTCCGATGGGCAACATAGCGAGACCCCGTCTCTAGGGAAGAAAGATGAGATTCACATCTAGTACTAGCCCAGATACTGGTTTTTAATACCATTCTCCACTAAAAGGAAGCAGGGTTCCTCGGAGAAATAGCTGGTTCTAGAGCGGGGCAGGGAATTATACAACAGGAGCCTGCGGCATCTTGCGGTGCCAGAAAGGCAAGCAGTATTTACCAGCGTACATATGACATTATGGGAGTATGTCAGAAGGGACAAGGGGTCACCTGAAAGAGCTCCAGTGGCCAAGGCTGGAACAATTTGAGCAACAAAGTAAAGTGATATTGGATTACAACCCCCCCCATATAAAGTATCCGTGAGCCCATGGCCATATAAACTAGTATGTATTTCGCAAACAAATAACACGGGGGAGAACAAAGAATATGTGTAGAAGAACGCGAATAATTGATATGGATACTCTGTCCTCGAGAAGGTGGGGGACCACTCCCCACTCCTTAAGTGTGGTAATTGTACATAGTGGCTTTTTCCCAAAACATACAGAATAGGAAAGGGGAGAAGAGGACTAAATTTACATGGAGAAGCCTGACATTGGCAGCCAGTGATAGAGGTTAACTTCAAGTCGTGTGATTAATAACACGAGATTAAAATGGCTCTCCACCTCTGTGGTCTTCTTTCCAATCCGATCCTGAGAAAAACTTCAGACGAACTCCAGTTGAGGTACATTCCCCCAAATACCTGACCAGGACTGCTCAAAACTGTCAAGGCATCAAAACAAAGAAAGTCAGACACTGTTACAGCCAGTGGGACCCTAAGGAGACAGGACACCTAAGTGTAATGTGTCGTGGGGGGTTCCTGGAACAGAAGAACATTAGGTTAAAAATGATGGCTCAGCCTGTAATCTCGCGCTTTGGGAGACCGAGGTGAGTGAATTGCCTGAGCCTGCAGGTTCGAGACCTCCCTGGGAAACTTGAGGAAACCTCATCTCTACAATAAAAAAAAAAAAAAAAAATCAGCCAGGCGTGGTAGCACATGCCTGTAATTCCGGCTACTCAGAAGGCTGAGGCAGAAGGATCGCCGGAGCCCAGCAGGTCGAGGCTGCAGTGGCCGGGAGCGGCCACTGCACTCCAGTCTGGGCAACAGAGTGAGACTCCGACTCAAAAAATAAAAAATAAAAAAAATATGGTAATCTAAATCAAGTATGGGCTTGACTCATTAATGGTAACACGTACCATACTGATGTTGGATGTTAGTAATTGGGGAAACTGGGTGTGGGTGCAGAGGGATTTCTTGTACTATCTTTGCAATTTTTCTTAAATCTAAAACTATCTAAAAAGCTTCTCTACATAAAATCAGGTTCCAAGGTCCTACCCCAAATAATCTCAATTCTGAAAGTCTGTGGTGGAGCCTAGGAATCTGAATTAAAAAAAAAAAAAAAGAGCCGGGCTCGGTGGCTCAGCCTGTAATCCCACATTTTGGGAGGCTGAGGTGAGTGCACTGCCTGAGCCCACAGGTTCGAGACCCACCTGAGCAACTTGGTGAGCCCTCATCTCTACAATAAATCAAAAATTAGCTGGGCATGGTAGCATGCGCCTGTAGTTCCAGCTACTTGGAAGGCTGAGGCGGAAGGAACACCGGAGCCCAGCAGGTCGAGGCTGTGGTGGCTGGGAGTGGCCACTGCACTACAGTCTGGGCAACAGAGTGAGACTCCAACTCAAATAAATAAATAAACAAATAAAAATAAATAAAAATAGAACTCCATATGATTAGGATGCAGATAACCTGGGGACCACAGTGTAAGAAAACACTATGATCTGGGGTGGGGGTTGGCTGGGTGGGATGAGGCATAAGAAGCTTCCCCCAACACTTTTCACACATTAAACTGACTTCCCTAGCCTGCCCACTGGTGGCTGCCACTGTATCCTAACCTCAGGGCAGGTGGGGGTGAGTCTGGGTTGCCAGTTTCGGTTCCATGTCTGTCAACACAGCTCTATCATAAAGCTTCTGTTTAAGCTGTTGAATTTCAGGGTAACTTTTTATGCAGCAATAGATAAGTAATATGCTCCTCAGCCTTTTAAACCAAATCTTTCACTTCCACAGTCATCGGATTTATGTAGGGTGGGATCCAAACAGTACGAGCAACAGCATGTGTGCCAGTTAGCACTCTGCTAATAGTCGCTGTTCAGTTCTTATGGATTGCCCAGACAAGTATCTGATTTACATTTTTCATATTTAACTGATGCATGGTAGGGGGTAGGGTGAGACACTTTCCAGCCCATTTTACAGACTAAGAAAACTGAGGCTCCAACAGGGAGAGCACCTTGCCCTAGGTCACAATGAGGGAAGAGGAACCAGGGTGGAAATACAGGTTCAGCTGATGCTGAGCCCTCTCCCTTAACGGCAGTGCCCCCTGCTTCAGACTCAATTCCCACCCCGCTCCTCCTCCCTCTCAATCTTAACGGCTTAGCTGATGTGTGGCTGCTCCATGTAAGCTTCTGACACCACTGTTCGCTCTGCTCCCCCGCAGACCTTCAGGACACAGCACACACTATTATAGACACAATCACGCCACTAGGCAACTGGTCCTTTGATGTGTCTCTCCTTCCCCATCTGAGTCAATGGCACCAACTCAGCCTGTCCTGACAGCCCTCTTCCTTGCCACCTCCTTGTGCGACTGTCAGCAAGTTTGGGGAGCCAACTTCTAGGACACATCCCTCACCCCCGTGTTCCTGTCCCTCTTCACTGCAGCCCAGTACGGCCGTATCCTCTCCCCTGGGGCCTCTGTCTCTTGCCCCTACAGGTCCGCACGGTAGCCAGAGTTTCTTCAGATGCTCATCAGGTGCTACGGCCCGACTTACCTTCCTCTGCTGCTTCCTGTACAGAGTTGGGCTTTGCCCTGGCCTGGGATCCAGGTCTCGGTCACCCTCGGCCGTTCACCTGACAAAGTTGCACACACTGTTCACTCTCTAGGACTTGGCCCCTCTGTGGTAGCCACAATGACCTGCCTACTCAGAATCCTTTTCACAGCTACCATAATTCCAGTTTTGTTCTGGTGGCAACAAACTTAAGGCAACACAAGGGCCTTCCCAGGCCTGGAGATAACCCGAGTGTTCTGATATCTGCGAGCACTTCCCCTCCTGCTGCCAGGATGGTTGGGACAGAAGTGACACTTGCTGGCAGCTGTGCAGAACTCCCCACTGTTAGAAAGGGAGGGCCGCTGCCCTGCAGGGGGATGCTGGTGCGAGAGGTTCCTCCTGCCTCTGTAAGCCCGGGTATTGACGATGCCCCACCAGGACCCTGGCTTCAAGGCTGAGCCACCAGGACCACTAAACACCCTGGTGGTTTAAACCCACACCTTCTGTTACTTGTGGCCCAAAGCACTTCTGCTCCACGACCTAAAACCACCTTGTCTGTTTATTTATTATGATGACTGTGACCTTCCCACTCCTAAAACAAAAGCGCTAAGAGGAAAGGGCCCCTCTCTTGCCTCCCCTGACTCCTGCTGCATGGACTGGGAGGCTCTGGTGCATTCCACAGCAGGTGCTTTGTAGATGTTTGCTGAATGGATGCACAACTTAATATGCCTGTCTCCCCACACAGCCCCAGGCCCTCCAGGGCAGCCCCCACTCATTCCTCTCAGCCCCAGCAGCGTGCGGGGCCCAAAGCCTTCGCTGGACCAACAGCAGGGAAGACAGAAGATGCTGCGCAAGAACCCAATTTAATAAGATTTACAAGTAGACACGTACAAAAACACCTAACAATGTACAAGTCCCGCGAGACCAAGGACTGGGTCCACAGGCAGAGAGGACCCGCCCGGGGGAGGCCCCCAAGGTGGCCATCTTGAGGTCTTTTCCCACTGATTCTCTAGTCTTGGCCTTATCTACAAATGTAACCAAACCCCAAACAGAGGTGAGAGGCTGCCCAGGCCTGACTTCCTCCTCGCCCCCAGCCCCTGCTCTAGGGGAGGGGGAGGAGGGGGCCGTTAACCAATGGACGCACCCTGCACTGCCAGGAGGGCCTCAAAGGGGTCCGGTGACCTCCTTCAGGCTGCTGAGTTTGCTAGGGGGGCTGGCCGGTGGGGGACAGGGAGGGGAGGGGAGGGGAAGGGTGCCTGAGCATCCTGGAGAGGCTGAAGGGAGGTGTACCAGGGCTGGATGCCCGCTGAACTTTGCCACCCAAGTCACCACTGCAGGGGCCCGATGTCGGCCCCCAGCTCCTCCTCCTCCTCCTCCTCCTTCAGCTGGAAGGGCTTCCCTGGCCACTTCACCCTGACCACGGGCTCCACGTGGTCCTGAAGGCGGTGGCGCTTCATGTGGGCATTTCGACTCTTGATCTTGTCGAAGACCCTGAGGAGTCGCAGAGGACATGTGGTCAGAGCAGGAGGGAGGTGGCCGCCCAGGAGGGGATCTGGGGGTTGAGGCCGGGGGCTGTGGGAGCATTTCTGGGAGGAAGCTGGTACCTCTCACACTCTCTGCACGGAAACACGCCCTGGCCTTCCACATTCCCCTGTGGCTCAGGGGTCCGCCTGGGGCCCACGCCGGGGCTGGAGTGGAGGATGGGCTCTCTCCGGTAGCTCTTGGTCTTCATCTTTAACTCAGGAGTTGGGCGGTGGCTGAGTCTCTCCTGAGGGCTGCAAGTGCCCTGCAGATGGGGCAAAAACAGCATGAGGGAGCGGACTTTCCTCCAGACCTAAGTACATGGGTGCCTTCTACAGGGAAGCCCTTCCTGGGGCACCACCCACCTCTGACCCAGCCCTCCACTCAGCTGGCAGTGGGCAGACCCACAGATGAACCCCTGACCCCCCACGGGTCTGCTACCTTTTCTTCTGTCCTTTCCACTTCATCTGGCTCTCTCTTGATCCTCTTTTCTAGCCCTGGGGCTCGGCCACAGTCAAACTTGACCATTTTTTTCCAGATGTAATAATACTCCACACACTGGGCTACCGTCTTTGTCTGGATCTAGCAAAAGAAGACAGAGCAGGCTGTGGGCAGTACCGCGTGGCCCCGCCATTGTGAACCTGCCGCGGAGCCAGCCGCCTCTCGGAAAGCCCTTCCAAGACTCTTCTTCCTCTGGTCCGTGTGCCCTTCACCATGAGGGAGGAGGATCACGAGGTCCTCCTGGGTGACACGGGTTCACGGTGAAGCCACACGGTAGTCCCGACACGAGCAGCAGCCACAGCCCAGGAACTCTTCCCTGCAGGAAGACGCACATGCGGGTCGTGAGGATGCCCACTGGGTATCGTGCTGACAGCCAAGGGTGTATACTGGGTCTTGCGAAGGCCATCCACCCTTAGGCAGGAGATGTGTGACCACTAGGTGGAGCTTCTGAGTCTGGCTGGAAGAACGGCAGCCCCAGAGGAGGGGAGGCTTCACCCGCACAGCACAGGGAACCGGGGGCGTCCCACAGTCACTACACCAAGAAGAGGTCCCAACAAAAACAACTTCCGGAAAACCAGCATGGAAAAGTCTATTTGCTTAGAAAGGAAAGTTCTCAGCAAATTAAATTGGCCATTGAGCTAAAGCCGGCAATACCTTCTACACACGAATCGTTTTCAGCTTTGTATGTATTTGCACACTAAGAGTCAGATAGCACATTCTCTGCCCAAGAAACATCACTAAGAAAAAATTAAAAGTCGGGCTCGGTGGCTCAGCCTGTAATCCTGCACCTTGGGAGGCTGAGGTGAGTGGACTGCCTGAGCCCGCGGGTTCGAGACCCACCTGGGCAACTTGGTGAGCCCTCATCTCTACAATAAGTAAAAAAATTAGCCAGGCGTGGTAGCGTGTGCCTGTATTTCCAGCTACTTGGAAGGCTGAGGCGGAAGGATTGCCAGAGCCCAGCACGTCGAGGCTGCACTCCAGTCTGCATTCCAGTCTGGGCGACACAGTGAGACTCCAACTCAAAAAATTAATTAATTAAAATTAATTGATTTTTAATTAATTAATTTTAAAAAGCTGGACTTCTTCTGAACAAGACAGAGCAAAAGGAACAGATTTACATCCAAAACAATGAAAACAGATAGTCAAAATATACAAACCATGTTCAGCAAGCCACTGGGCACCCGTCAACAGAAGACAGTAAACTCTGAGAGACAGGAAACCAATTCCCGCCGTCCCAGCCCGCCACCTCGGGAGTCCAGGCTGAGCCCACAGGACTCATCTGGCAGAGGAGCAGAGGGCCTCAGGGGACCAAGGAGAGGAGAGCTGCACACAGAAAATTCCAGAGATGTGAAGAGAATCCCTACAGATGTTCAGCAGAGTACTAGCCAGCACATGCATGGGGAGACCACCCAAAGCTGGGCAAAGAACCATCCAAAAGAATCGGAGGAAAGAGTCCCTGTTCCCAGCAGCCAGCGCAGGAAGCCTGGTAATTCAAGGGGTACGGAGAAGAGCGGAGACAGGGGTCTTATCTCAGTCATGACGAATACCCAGCCTTGGACAAACAGCTGTTCCAGTCTCATCTAAAAGATCCATATGCTCATCCAAAAGGAACAAAGTGTTTTCAAGTGACTGTGTCCCAGAACAAAGCTCAAAATATTTAAAAGAATGCAAAAATAGTCAGCTTTCAACAGGCTGAAATTCACAATGCTTGAAATCCACAGGAAAATCCCCAGGCATGCAAGGAAGCTGGAGAGTAGGACACACACGAGGACATCAACCTACCCAAATCAACCCAGAGCAGATACAGTGTTAGATCAAGCATGGAAGGATGGGAAAATTTACCATAACTCATAATGTATGTTGAAAAAGTTACACAAGAGGCTGAGGTGGGAGGATAGCTTGAGCCCAGGAGGTCGAGGCTGCAGTAAGCTGTGATCATACCTGAGAACAGCCACTGCACTCCAGCCCAGGCAACAGAGAGAGAGATCCCATCTCAAAATAAAGTTATGTAAGATATAAAAAGATATGAAAATGCATATTTAAAAAGAACCAAACAGAACTTCTAGAGATGAAAGCTACAATGTCTGAGATGAAAAAGCACACTGCATAGGATTAACGGCAAATTAGACATCACAGGAGAAGATTAGTGAACTTGGAAAAATATGGCACTAGAAACCCAAACGAAATCCACATAGAAAAAATAATTTTAACAAATGAAAAGAGCATATGTGAGCTGTGTGACAAGCTCAAGCAGCCTCATACAAGTGTTACTGGAGTCCTTGAAGGAGAGAGGTGCAGAAGAAATATTTCAAGAAATAATGGCCCAAATTCATTCAAATTTAATGAATACTACAAACCCACAAGTCTAAGCAACTCAACAAACCCAAGCACAAGAAAATATGAAGAAAATGACACCAAAACACATCATAATTGCTCAAAACCAATGATAAGCTCCTAAAAAGTCAGTTTTTGCTTTGTGTTTGCACAGAAGAGCCAAAATAAGCAAATCACTACAGTTCTTACAGGAAACAATAACAGCATGAAGAGAGCAGAGTAAGACCTTGAAACAACTGGCAAGAACAACAACAAAACCTATCAAGCTAGACCTTCCATGAAGGCAGCCCAGCCTGGTGGCTCCCAGCTGTTATCCCAGTACTTTGGGAGGCAGAGGCAGGATGTTTGCTTGAGGCCAGGAGTTTAAGACCAGCCTGAGCAACACGGCAAGACCCCATCTCTACAAAAAATAAAATAAATTAGCCAGGCATGGTGGCATATGCCTATAGTCTCAGCTACTCTGGAGACTGAGAAGGGAGGCTTGCTTGAGTCCAGGAGGTCCAGGCTGCAGTGAGCTATGACCACTGCTGCACTCCAGTGTTGATAACAGAGTGAGAATCTGTCTCAAGAAAGAAAGAAAAAATAAGAAAAAATAAATAAAGGTAAAATAAAAATTAAAAACTCTTTTAGATATACAGGTTGAGTATCCTTTATCCAAAATGCTTGGGGTAAGAAGTGTTTTGGATTTCAGAATATTTGAGTGTTTTGTTTATTTGTTTGTTTTTTAGTTGGAGTCTCACTCTGTCACCCAGGCTGGAGTACAGTGGCACATTCACAGCCACAGTGGCCTCGATGGGCTGGGCTCAGGCGATTCCCCCTCTTCAGCCTTCCAAGTAGCTGGGAACACAGGCACACACCACCACCACGCATTTTCTGTTTTATTGTAGAGACAAGGCCTTGCCAAGTTGCTAGTCTCGAACCCCTGGGCTCAGGCAATCCTCTCACCTCCGCCTCCCAAAGTTTTGGGATTACAGGTATGAGCCACTACAAGAAATAATAATGAATTGACATTTAATTTTCTTCTGAAAAAATGATATCAGAGCCAGGCTCGGTGGCTCAGCCTGTAATCCTGCGCCTTTGGGAGGCTGAGGTGAGTGGACTGCCTGAGCCCGCGGATTCGAGACCCACCTGGACAACTTGGTGAGACCTCATCTCTACAATAAATCAAAAATGAGC